GTCCAACACGGTGCAAAGAGCATCCAGGTTCTGGCTGAGTTTTAATGTCAAGATGTTATGAAGGAGTTTTACTCTGACTGGAGATCTGCTTTATTTATTAACAATGAAAGAAACAGAATCTAGTTTGTTGTTTTCTGTTCTCCATGTTTTGTATTGAAGTTTTCATTAAAAAAAAACTTGCAGTTGAAATGTGTTGTTTTCAGATTCCTGCAGTCATCGTCATGTTTGAATGAACAGTAAATTTCCAACTTTCACCATTTACTTATGAAAACAAGCTGGTAAAAGATTTAACAAGGCTACATCCAGCATTAAAAACATCTTTTCCAATGTTAACAACCTGTTTTCCAGCATTAACCAGGTGTTCTCCAGCTTTAGCCAAATGATAGAGAGGATTATTTTGCTCAGCTTCTTCTCTGGCCTTAGATTCATGCTCAGACTGCAGCCTGGATTTTGCTTGTTGAATTTCTTTCTCCTGCTTTTCCTTCAGGGCTTCAAACTGCTTCTCTCTCTCCTTTCTCTCTCTCTCTCTGTCAGCCTGGATTTGCTTATACATTCTCTCCATCTCTTTCTCATACTTTTCTTTTATTTTTCTCTCCAGTTCTTCTCGCTCTTTACGTATTTTCTCTTCTTTCTCCTTCAGGATTCGTTGTTTCTCCTCTTCGATCGCCCTCTCAGCCTCTTGGAACATCTCATTGGTGTAGTGACTTCCTCCATTCCTGTCAACAATGGTTCTGATCTTCCTCAGCAGCTCAGTGACCTGAGGTTTCTTATCTTTCAGCCTATTGTTGAAGACATGATACTGGTTGTTACACCTGGACACCAGATCCTGCAGCTCTGGGCTGTCAGACAAATAATCTTCAATGGTGCCTTCAAGTTCGTCTCCACGGGTAAACAGAACCATGCTGTATTTGTCTGCTGCCTCTCCAAAGATTTTTTGAATCATTTGCACTGATTGTAATTCTTCTTCTGTGAATCTGCCGATTGGAACGACCACCAGGAAGATGTGGGGTCCAGGAGCAGCGTAACAGATGCATTGACTCAGATCTTTGGTTGTTTTATCTTCTCCAAATCTGGTGTCAAACAGACCTGGAGTATCAATGACAGTAACCTGCTGTCCATCCACATTACTGCAGCATCTGGAGCAGTCAATGGTCAGAGAAGTGGGTCTGCATTCAGACTGAAAGCACGGTCGACCCAGAATGGTGTTTCCAGTAGCGCTCTTTCCAGTCCCAGTCTTCCCCACCATCACGATCCTCAGTTCATCGTTGTTTATAATGTTTGTTCCTGTGAAGAACAAGGTTTGAATCTGAAATAAAATCATTGTGGTGGATGCTCCTTCCACCACCACACTATGTCAGTATTTATTTATTTTTCTTTATATTAGTTACAGCTTACAGTATGCTTAAGTTAGTTATTATATTTAGACATATATTTTCTAATGGGTGCACACTTTAGTTAATATTTGTCTGAATGGTTTACTCACATTTGTTGTTTTGTGTGAGGTGCTGCAACTACAGACAACCTGGCAGAAGAAACCTGGAGCATACCATTTGTTTTTCTAAAAGACTGAAGGGGGGAGACCTTGTTGTTATTTCAAGTTCAACAATTAATTAGTTAATTTTGGCACTTAGATATTCACTTATTATTTGTGCAAAGTTAAAATTAGTTTTGCTTTATTTGTTTCATGGGATGCTTTAGTTAATTTTGTATTTGTTTGTTCTTTTATGTTGTGCCTCCCTCATGTGGTAGATTTAGGGTACTCCACCCTGTTGAAATTATTAGTTTATGGTCTAAGGGCTTAAATTAAATTTAGATCCATCCTTCAATCAATATATTCTGATTAGCAGAATATAGCTTTTGAACATAGCGCCATCAGTTGAATAAAATAACTTGGTCTGTAGATTTCTGGTTAGTGTACAAATTCATATCTACAGGGTCAAATTGTTGCCCTCAGCCCCTCTGTGGCCCACACTCTCCCAGAAAGAGGGTAATAAATGTCTTCTCTAAAGAACTTAAAATGTCCTGTCTCTAGACACAGAACAGGTTCTGTTGTAAATCATCTTCCAAGCCACTAGAGGCACCCCCTGAATTACATATGAGAACGCCCAGAGGAAGAAAAGCTAGCCGCCTGAGCTAGGATGGCAGAAGACTATGTGTTTTTCTCCAGGTGCTCACTGGCGGGCGGCCTTTTATGTGATGTCTGTTTTTTTTGTTCATTTATCATTTATTTTATTTCTTTAGAGATAAAATAAGTTCTGTTTGTCAAATGATTTTCTTTGGTATTTTTATAACAAGGTTATTAATCATCACTGATGTACATTTTAACTTCAGGCTGCGTTCACACTGCAGCCTGAAGTGACCCATTTCTGATTTTTTGACATAATGCGACCTGTATCTGATCTTTTCATGGCAGTGTGAACAGCACAGGTCGGATTCTTTTTCGAATGTGACCCATATCGTATCCGATTCAAATGCGACCTAATGTTCTGGTCTCATTCATCTGAACTGAACGTCACTGATACTCGACAAATCTCACTATTCTGCGTCCTGTTACTCGCAAGTGGGAAGAAAAACAACAACCATGACGGGCTAGATGAGGATTAAGTTGTTAATATGCTGCTCCGGTTGGACAACAACTTCAAATATGTAAGCTAAGCTCCACCGTTAGCCTCCATGTTTACTTCCGCAAACACTGAGCACTTCTTCTTTTTATGGCAGTTGGCAGAACATTTAGAACGCTGACGCTATTGCGCCCTCTACTGCACATGCGGGACACTTTCAGGTCGTTTGCCCGTTTACACTGCAGAACGCATACAGGTCGCATTTACTGGCAGTAAGAACGGCCCCGGCAAAAAAATCGGAATTGCCAAAAAAATCGGAATTGAGACTCTTCAGGCTGCAGTGTGAACGCACCCTATGTTTGTTGATCGGTTTGTCTTTTATATGATCCGTTGTGTGATTGTTTAATAAACGTTGTGATTGCATTTGAGCTGCAATGTCTTGTTTGGCTTGTCTTTGTCTTTGCATTGTTGTAAATGGTTTCACTATTGCACACGTGGATTTGAATTTGGTCGATCAAAATACAGAACGAGCAAGAAGATTAAATAATATTGTATTTCTTAACAACCCCTATTTAAGCAGCCTATTGTTCTCTGTTTGCAGGCCAGTTTTATTTGTGTTTTGTTAGAGTTCAATTGACCTCAGTTAATTTGGGTCCAAATTTGTTACTTATCATTTAATTTGCTCTTACATTGAGTCTTTATGATTTGTTAACTATTCTTTGAACTATTAAATGGACACTTTTTCTACTTTTTGAACATTTTTTGTCGTCATTTATGTCTGGTACCTTACAGGGACACAGAATGTTTGAATCTGAATTAGAATCATTATCATGTTTTCAGAACTTCAGCTTCTGTTTATTTGGGAGAGCAGAAATTATTGAGCGTATGCTATCTCCCCTAATTTTCACAACATCCAGCTAAATAGGCACCAATTATAGTCGACACACTGCACTCTTATAGCAATTATTCAGTTTAAGCTAAATTACATTTTCTATCGGCTGCATTATGTCTGATGTGTCTGATGCGATGGTGATGAAAGGAGGGACTACAATCTAGCAATCATTTAATGCATTTGGTTTTAGTTTTTTTTTTAAAGAGATTGTGTCAAAATACCAACAGTGACTATTTAAATATAAATATATCCCAGAAATTAATTGTAATTATATTGAAAGATGGGTTAACCCCAGAATTACAGAACAGAACCAGAAAGTCAAACATTCCATATATCTAGTCATATTTAACATGATAATATGTAATAATATCAGGCATGTTAGATTGAAAGTAACTTTTGAAAATAACAGTCTTAAAGCAAGCATTTTCATTAAGCCCACATTTCTGTATTAAAAATAGTTTTTTATTGGTCTTGTGTAATATTCTAATTTTAAATCTTAGCTGTATATGGAAAATCATCATAATTAACAGAAATAAATGCTTTCAAACATTTGTGTGTGTATTTAATATGCAGTGAGTTAAAGTTTCTAAAATTGATGGGAGTTGTTCAATAATATTCTAAGTTATATTACTCTATAATTATTTTTATTGGGGAATATTTTCTAGCATGCAATTATCCAGACTTACCATTGTTGTAGGACTTGCTTGGGCTGTCCATGATCAGTCAGAGAGAGCAGTGAGACACTCCAGCTGCAGTGAAATAATGAAGACAAGGGTCTTTTTAAATAGCCTTTCAAACAACCTGAAACTGAACCTTTGATTGGCTCTAACGTCTTTTATGGTTGACCTAAAATTGAACAAATGTATTTCTAAGAAGCTGGTTTGAATTTTCAGAAAGTTTTCTTCAAAGTTGTGTGGGTGCTTAAAGCTTAAAGGTCAATTCATTGTCAAATATGTAACCAAATACTGCACCAACGTAACCTGGTTTTCCCCCCAGCTATCTGTACTTTCAATAAATGGCAGCACTGTGGGACAAACAGTGCAATAAAGAGTAAACAAAAGTGAAACTAAACAAACCATATATGGTCTGTATGATTTTCTCCTGGTTTTATGTCCCAGCTTTGTTTCTCTTCATGAGGCTAATATGTTTCATTTCTGTTACTTCACACAACTTTAAACCTATTCTTGATTTGACTCAGTATACAGACCTTTGCAGGTTTATAAGAATGAAACCACAAATCACACATTTGACCTTTTATTTTATGAAAAGAAAACACTTGGAATATGACTTCAGATTATTTGTGGTCTGCTCTTTCTCAGATTAAATTATGTTGTAAGTTTCTTCCCTACAGAAGCAATGAAAATGTACAAAAGCATAAACATAGAAGATCATAATTTTCTATTTTTGGATGAGGAATTTTTATGTTTATTTATTTTTTTAATATTTCCTGTTATATTCTAATCTAGATATCAGAAACACTCAGCATTACCATACTAAACTTAATCTTAGAAAGTTTCCAAACTGGGTTGATGCCAGTTGACCAGATGTTGTTCTTGTGTTTATTTCATGAATCATTTTATCTCCATGTTTAGTGAGAGTAGCAGTATATTCCTTTAATTAGATAACTTAAGGTTTGAGTTTCCCTGATCTGCAGTGAGCGGGTTATTACAGATGTTCTCAGTCAGTTTGGTGAATTTCTCAAATTATTCCTGACATTTTCAAAACAGTAAGTGCATGATTGGGCTCACTGTACAGAACTTAGCAGATTTATAAAAATTCAACCACAAATCACAAATTTGACCTTTTATTTTGCAAATAAAGCATTACAGAAGCAATGAAAATGTATAAAAGAATAAAAATAGAAGACCTTAATTTTTCTGTTTTTTGATCAATCAGTCAAATCAAATTTTATTTGTATAGCACATTTCAGCAGCAAGGCATTTCAAGGTGCTTTACAGAATTAAAGAAAAAAAATAAGAACAGCATGTGACATTGAAGAAAGAGAAAGAAAATTTGAAAAAAAGAAAAAGATTAAAAGAGATTAAAAAAATAAAAAATAAAAATAACTGAAAAAGATGATGCAGAAAACTTGTTCAGAAAGTATCATGTTCTGAGTTAGATCTTAAAAACACTCACCACTACCATAGATGCGAAATGAGTTTCTGAATCGTAGCAAGTCATAGTTTTTAGAGTAGATGCCAGTATACAGAGTCAACAGACCTACAAACCATCCCAAGGTGTTTTTTTCTGTCTGAAGCAGTTCATAGTCAGGGAACCTACATTCTGATGTTTTATGAGTCAAAGCACATCCCATTCTTTTTCTTTATCTAGTCAACTTCATTATCAACGCCATTATGAATTTCTTGAGCAAATAGAATACAAAGTGTTCTTATATAAGAAAGGATTTGAATTACTTATTTGCATCCTCTTACTGTATTTCTAACACTGTATAAAAATGGGTTGAGCAAAAAAAAAAAATTGCAGAATATGTCAAATATATTTTATCCTTTTTATTGTCAGAATTATAGAATGGGGAAATTTAAGATAAAGTTTACAACAGTCACACCCTACATTGTTTCATTTCTCTCTGCGGGCAGAACAACGAGTAGGAAAAGCTCTCCACCCTCCTCTCATGAAGCTGCTGCAGCAGGAAAGTCTGGGCAAGAAGAGGCAGAAAGTCGGATTCCTTGGATAAAATCACATTTTTATTGTTGGTATTTACATGTCCACACAATTTTCTACTAAAAATATATTTGTATGCTTTTCTTGTCATGGTACATTGCTTTTCTAACGTGTTTCAGTTAGTGAGAGAAATCTAATTTATGAACCTCTGAGTTCAAAGTGTAGAAGATAATAATCATTCATATCGTCTATTCCCATCATAAAACACATTTGAATAATTAATCATTACCACCTTTATGAATGCAGAAGTTTTGTGTCTAACGTAAAAAATGTCCACACAATAAAACTGAGCACAACAGCAATGAGGAAGTTTGTCTCAGGTGGAGGGACAAAAGTGAGGAATAAGTTTCACATAATTTCCCCTCCACATGAGGAAGGGGAAAACCAGCCTGGATGTAAATCTAGGGAAACTTTATAGGCATCAAAGTCAAACAATAGTATTATCGTATATTTATTCTGTAAGAAACCCACACCCCATTGATTTTTTTGTACACCGGACCAGGCTTTTTTTTTTGTATTGCATATTTACATCTAAAGGTTATGTGTATCAATTAAAGAATAAAGGTCAAAACGTGGAAAAAAGAGCCAATAAAAGCTTCAGTTTCATTCTGATGATAAGACTGTATAAAAATGCCTGTGCAGGACCCAAAGGGTATTCATTACTTCACTGCATCTGGAGTGTCAACACTGATCTCTCTGACCATGGACAGCGACAAGTTCAGCCCAAACATGACCTGCAACAATGGTGAGTCAGGATATGAAGTCTGTTCTGATGTAGAAAATATCCATCAATAAAACCATGTAAGCATGAAACTTTTCACTTTCAACTTTCTTCTGTCTTATTCTGGGGTTTCCTTGTTTTTCAACGTGAACGGATGTCATGTATAGGTGATAAGGAGACTTATTAATGAATGTTATTTTGAAATGAAACACTGTTACAATCAAGAATGAATCAAGGACAACAGAATGCATTCTGTCATTATTTTATTCAAGGGTCAAAGAAAAGAATGGCCATTGACTCGGCTGATCAGAGAGTAAAGAAACAAAAACATCACTTCTTATAATCCATCAGTAATGTAAGCATGGGACTTTACATCAGCTTATAACAAAGAAGACAGTCTTTTCACTTCTCTGGCTTTGCACCTGTGACCCTGAACAATGGTTCACACGAGTTCAAGAAAATAAAGACTGTGAGATTCGAGTTTTCTGTGTGTTTATCTTGGTTTCTGTGTCAGTTGGGTCTCCGTGTTGTCCTGTCTACCCCTTGAATGATCCCAGTTGTGTCTTGTTTCCTTGCTTACTCCCCTGTGTATTTAATCCTACCTGTCTCTTGTTGCTTGTCGGGTCCTGTCTTGTCTGCCGTCAGTTGTGTGTTCCTACCAGTTGCTACCAGTGTGAGAATCTAGCCTTTGCTCATCTGTCCTGCCTGGATTATTGTGTGTATTTTGTCATTAAATCTTTTCTTCTACCTGGGTCCATCATGTCTACCTCACCTTACAAATCATGACAAAGACAACTTCTCAGAAAACGTCTGTTATCAGTTCTGTTTCCCCAGTAAATAAGCCGAAGTTTGTCATGACATAGGATTGACTTATTTACTGGTGTTTATAGAGTTAGTGTTGGTCAATGTACATGCTGCTTGCCAATTTTCCTCAGGTAACTCCAGCAATAAATCTTCCTTCAAAGCCTTAAGTCTATCATGAGATTCTTCAGAAATTAGCAACATCACTGATTAATAAAACTCAGATATGACACCTTTCTTCAAACTATCCTAAATCAAAAATTTTTCTGACGTTGACTTGGCAGGTTTTG